CTGGCCATAGATATTAGAGTAAATGAAATTTTTTCATTTACTCTATTATCTATGGCCTGGCGCATGGCCTGACGCACCCTGCCCCACCTCTTCGATCGTTGCGCGGGGCCGGGGGCGGCCACTCCTGCTCAACAAAGAGGAGGGGATAGGGTATTTATTTCTGTAATAATAGATATTAGACTATTAAATATTATGTGCTGTAATCTATGGTTGTGACTTATGACCAGATCCGAGTCCTGGCCCTGGTGTTCCTTCCTTTGTTTTAGTGAATTCTAAATGAACTAAATTCTTCTGCTCCTCCAGACCTCCATTCGACTCCTCAGCATCAGCTATGCAGATGACCAGAAAGACTTTTACAGCAATATTTTTTTAATTCTGTTCTTGTTCTGGTGAGCCATTAATAAGTAGATTAGATAGATAAATATTAGTTTCAGGCAGTATCTTTACTATTGTACCAGTGACGCAATATGTATTATGTCAATGATACTGTGACATTTGAATGTGCTACCAACTTGACTGAATATACCCTTGTTATTCTTATTAGAGGAGTACCACCATCTTCACTAAAATCTAAAACATTACCTAATGGGGTAAGGTTGCTATCCTTTAATCTAACGGCAACTAATGCATCAAATGGAACTGATGTTACCTGCCTAGCATTTGGTGATGATGGAAATGCTAATGAAACTGCCTATCTTTATGTTCAAGGTAATGGTCAATATTGTAGATATGTAATATTATACATATTCCCAGGTCCACCTGATAGTCTCAGTAGTTTAACAGGATATCAGTTAGATTCTTGTTGTATGTTTATCAGTTGGTATCCTCCATTCACACTACCAGGACTAACAGTACAATATATAATCAGTGTAGGAACTGATCAACAGTACCTTAATGACTCTATCACTAACTACACTTACTGTCCAATGAACCCAACCAATAAACAATATCTGTTTAACATTACAACTACTAATAAAGCTGGGAATGGATCTACTAGTAACATAACTGTTGGATTTCAATCAAGTAAGAAACATAAATATAATTCTTTAACTTTATGCATATTGATTTTTATAGGCTCAAATTTCCAGAGCATTTATCAAGAACATTATATTTACCACATAAACAATAGTTGGAGTCTACATTGCCTACTATCAGTTAGTTACTCCCACACACATAAACACCTGTTTTTGATTTATTGTAGGCTCATCAGTTGTGTACTGGAGTGTCACTTGTTAACATAACAGTAACTGGTTGTACTGTTAGTAGTTCCAGTAGTACTTGTTATTCATCAACAAATGTATCCACTAGTAGATCTAGTTCTTATAATAACATTTCACTTGTTGCCATTATAAATCTTCCATCAAGAGAGATACTGGACACTAATATCATCTTGTACTATCAAAATGGAGCAGTGTTTGGAAGCACTACTATAAGAATCAGTAAGTGACATATCATACTAATGTTTAGTGCTTTATTATTATTAAGGTACTCATAATTTTCAACACATAGCAGTGGTTAATATTACATATAACAAAGTTTGTCTTCAGTTTGAGTTTGTCAATGGCAGTACAACTGATATTATTTATATTCACATCACTAATTATGAAGAGCCAGTTGATCAACCAGTGTATTACAATATATCTCGTAATGATCAGTTGAACTTTACTCATTGTATTACTAACATACCAGCTGGTAATAACTTAACACTGTATGCATGTGAATCAATAGAGGACTGTATTACTAATCCTGCTGCTGTATTAACTGGTATTGGTATTCCTGCTATAGTCTCTAGCACTATGCTGACAAGCTACATAAGTTCACATAAAGACTCATTAGAATCTACTTTTGATCCCATCAGCTATAGTTCATCATTTCTGTTAATGTATACTTCAACAACTACAGTTTCATCTACAGTTAGATCTACCATGATGATGGAGGATTGTAATATAAGGGAAAGTCAAAATGAGGTACCTGTCACTAGCGGTAAGCAATTAACATTAATAGTATTCTGAGTGATAACATTTACCATTCTTTCATTAATACAGCAGTATTGATTAGTGTATTGAGTGTATTCCTCATACTATCACTAATGATTAATGTTATTACATTAACTGTGTGTTACTGCAACAGGAAAGGAAAGAATGATCAAAGTATGTTAATTTATGTTAAAGATTTACTATGATGAATTGTATTACAGGTTCACAAGAACAAGAACTATCATCAGTTAATCCACAGTATGAGAATGTACATTTACCAGTTCCACAATCAGAACTATCAATGAAAGAATGTGCTGCTTATGGTGTAGTGGAAGGTACTAGGTTTTAAGACTTCATGATAATCAACTATTAGAGTTTATATAATTTTTAAAGTAAATTTTTGCGAAGCATTTTTCAATTTTTACGTTCAGTAATGTCATATATGCCCTACCCCCAGCCCCCTTATATTATACCCTGTACTATAGCCCATGGTTTTTCCCAAAAAATGGCTCCAAAATTATCCCAAATTTTGTATTACATTTTCCGATACATATTGACGTCCCTATGCTGGTAGAAAGTTTGAGCTAATTCCGACTAAAATTTTGGCCATTTTAGAAAATTGGCTGATTTGCAATATCTTGCACCATATTGTTATAATTTTCACAAATCATAATAAAATATACAAATTCCACAAAAATTGCACCTTCAAAAAGCACTTGTATGGTATTATAATAGCTACATTTGTGCTCATACCTACATATGTATACTGGTCCTGTGCAAACATGTAGCTACGTACTAGACTGTTCACTGTTGAAGTAACAATGGTGGGAGAGCATGCATATAGTAAATAAAATTAGAAACACTCTGAAAAATTTCAAAAAAACATTACAGTCTGTGGTGTTTTATTAAAATTGCATTACACCACACCTTCAACTCACACAGGGTCACACCTCCATGATCATGGCTCCTATTCTGTTTGTTGCTGTAATTATGGTCTCCAAAATTTACATGTCTTGTAAGTTTTATTGTGATATCATCAAATCATTATAAATTTTAGGTGCAAGTATCTTTACTATTGTACCAGTGACACAATATGTATATGTCAATGATACTGTGACATTTGAATGTGCTACTAATGGGACTGGAAGTGGAAGTAATATTTATTTTGTTGTTGGAGGATCAATTCGGCCATCAAAATCAAGTGTAACATTACCTAATGGTGGAATGAGGATATCAATTAGCCTAACACCGTCAAATGAATCAAATGGAACTGATGTTGTTTGTAGAACTTTAAGTGGAAGTGCTACTCAAACTGTGTATCTCTATATTCAAGGTTAGTCGATACTGATCTGTGTTAGTGTATCATATGTATTCCCAGGTCCACCTGATAGTGCCAGTAATTTAACAGGATATCAGTTAGATTCTTGTTGTATGTTTATCAGTTGGTATCCTCCATTCACACTACCAGGACTAACAGTACAGTATATAATCAGTGTAGGAACTGATCAATGGTACCTTAATGACTCTATCACTAACTACACTTACTGTCCAATGAACCTAACCAATAAACAATATCTGTTTAACATTACAACTACTAATAAAGCTGGGAATGGATCCACTAGTAACATAACTATTGGATTTCAATCAAGTAAAAATTATAAATAAATATGATCATTTTTTGTTTCTGAATAGGTTCAAATTTCCAGATCATTTATCAAGAACATTATGCTTACCACTTAAACAATAGTTGGAGTTTACATTACCTACTATCAGTTAGTTACTCCCACACACGAATGAATACCTGTGTTTCATTCATTGTAGGCTCATCAGTTGTGTACTGGAGTGTCAGTTGTTAACATAACAGTAACTGGTTGTACTGTTAGTAGTTTCGGTAGTACTTGTTATTCATCAACAAATGTATCCACTAGTAGTAGTTCTTATAATAACATTTCACTTGTTGTCGTTATAAATCTTCCATCAAAAAAAATACTGAACACTAATATTATTTTATACTATCAAAATGGAGCAGTTTTCCAAAGTAACACTATAGCAATCAGTAAGTGACATATCATACTTAATCTTTAGTATTTTATTATAATTAAGGTACTCATGATCTTCAACACATAGCAGTAGTTAATGCTAAATTTAACATAGTTTGTCTTCAGTTTGAGTTTGTTAATGGTACCACAACTGATATTATTAATATTCACATCACTAATTACGAAGAGTCAGTTCATTCACCAGTGTATTACAATATATCTCGTAATGATCAGTTGAACTTTACTGAGTGTATCACTAACATACCAGCTGGTAATAACTTAACACTGTATGCATGTGAATCAATGGAGGACTGTACTACTAATCCTGCTGCTGTAATAACTGGCATTGTTATTCCTGCTTTAGTCTCTAGTATGCTGACAAGCTACTTAAGCTCACATGAAGACGCATTAGGATCTACTTCTGATCCCGTCTGCTATAGTTCAGTATTTTTAATGTATACTTCAACAACTACAGTTTCATCTACAGTTAGATCTACCATGATGATAGAGAATTGTAATATAAGGGAAAGTCAAAGTGAGGTACCTGTCACTAGTGGTAAGCAATTAACGTTAATAGTATTCTGTGTGATAACATTTACCATTCTTTCATTAATACAGCAGTATTGATTAGTGTATTGGGTGTATTCCTCGTACTATCACTAATGATTAATGTTATTACATTAACTGTGTGTTACTGCAAGAGGAAAGGAAAGAATGATCAAAGTATGTTAATTTATGTTAAAGATTTACTATGATGAATTGTATTACAGGTTCACAAGAGCAAGAACTATCATCAGTTAATCCACAGTATGAGAATGTACATCTACCAGTTCCACAATCAGAACTATCAATGAAAGAATGTGCTGCTTATGGTGTAGTGGAAGGTACTAGGTTTTAAGACTTTGTGATAATCAACTATTAGAGTTTATTTAATTTTTAAAGTAAATTTTTTGCGGAGCATTTTTCAATTTTTAAGTTCAGTAATGTCATATATGCCCTACCCCCAGCCCCCTTATATTATACCCTGTACTATAGCCCATGGTTTTTCCCAAATAATGGCTCCAAAATTATCCCAAATTTTGTATTACATTTTCCGATACATATTGACGTCCCTATGCTGGTAGAAAGTTTGAGCTAATTCTGACTAAAATTTTGGCCATTTTAGAAAATTGGCTGATTTGCAATATCTTGCACCATATTGTTATAATTTTCACAAATCGTAATAAAATATACAAATTTCATAAAGATTGCACCCTTCAAAAAGCACTTGTATAGTATTATAATAGCTACATTTGTGCTCATACCTACATGTGTATACTGGTCCTGTGCAAACATGTAGCTACATACTAGACTGTTGAAGTAACAATGGTGGGAGAGCATGCATATATTAAATAAAATTAGGAACACTCTGAAAATTTTCAAAAAAACATTACAGTCTGTGGTGTTTTATTAAAATTGCATTACACCACACCTTCAACTCACACAGGGTCACACCTCCATGATCATGGTGTAATGGAAGGTACTAGGTTTTAAGACTTTGTCATAATCAACTTTTAGAGTTTATGTAATTTTAAAAGTAAATCTTGTACTGAGCATTTTTCAATTTTTGCATTCAGTAATGTCACATATGCTCTACTCCCAGCCATTAATACTACTCCCTGTACTATAGCCCATAGTTTTTCCAATGGCTCCAAAATCACCCTAATTTATTTACATTTTCCAAAACATATTTACGTCCTTATGCTGTGTAAAAAAAGTTTGAGCTAATTCTGACAAAAAATTGTCCATTTATAAAAAATTGGCCAATTTGCTTATAAATGCACCCTTCAAAAGAGCAGTTATATGAGCATTACAGTAGTTACTATACTATTGTGCGCATACATACATACTAGACTACCAAAGTAACAATGGTGGGAGAGCATGCATATAAATAGCAAGTTAAATTAGGAACACTCTGAAAATTGTCAAAAGAATATGGTCTTTTATTAAAAAATTGAATTATACCACACCTTCAATTCACACAGGGTCACACCTCCATGATCATGGCTCCTATTCTGTTTGTTGCTGTAATTATGATCTCCAAAATTTACATGTCTTGTAAGTTTTATTGTAATATCTAGTGCTGGGCGATAGTATCGATATATGCGATGGTCGCGATAGTAATCTACTATCACTATCGTGATAGTTGAATCAACACTATCACGATTGACACGTGGTACATGTACGCATGCGCATTATCAAACACGTGGTTACTTTAATGAGTTAGTTCAGCTGTAAAAATGGAAGATGTTATCATTAGTAGCAGTACTGCTCCAAAAAGAAACAGAAATATTGCCTTTACCTGGTGCTACTAGTGTTGTATGGAAGTATTTTAGTTTTCCTGCTGTTGATGGTAAAATTTCTGAGTGCTTGAATAATCTCCAAAAGGCTCATGCAGAAATTTCAAGATATTAGAGCCTATTAGCTTAGATATATATGATATACAATCCTTTGGCATGGTGGAACACAAATTTCTTTTGTTATCCAATAATAGCTAGGAAATATTTATGTATACCGGTGGCATCAGTTCCCTCTGAATGTGTATTTATAGTACTGCAGGGAATATAGGTACTAAAAAAAGAGCTTGTCTACATCCAGAAAATGTCCTTCTAGCTGAAAACCTCAAATATTCATCTACCTTTCATC